ATTTGAGCTGCTACTAATTTGGCAGCCTGATCTTTCTAAAAAAAACAATTCTTTGCGAAAGTTTAAAAAAAAAAGACTCACCAGTTTAGTATTACAATAATTAATCAAAACAGGATTTTTCGAGTTTTTCAAAATAAATCCGAGTGTTTTCGTTGTCCCTCCCCAAAACCCATCTAAAAATTCAAATGTTTAGAGCTGAGTGATTTCATGTTGCTTCTGTGCTCCATGATGTCTCTTATATGTATGAGTTGAGCTAATGGAAAAAATAAAATGACCTATTTTGCCATAATAACAAAGATTTTTGATGTTATATGCCAATAGCTATATTGACACCAGCATGATGCCTTAACTGATAAGGTTCATCTTAGGGGTAGTTGACAAACTTGGACCGTGCTCATTTTTTTCCTGTAAAATTTGTGACTTCCTTCCTGAATCTGCTCTCTGCTACACTGATCCACTCAAGAGTTTTATGCCTGTGGTATAGCAGTGATAGTCAGAGCTAGTCAATGGTTTTTATTTGCAAAGCTTTACTTTGAAGTGTATGTATGTTTCTTTAACCTATAATTTATCTTGGCATGTAAGCTTGGAGCTCAGATTAGCATCAAAAAATTCAAAAGTGGAGCTGCTAACAACTTACACTCGTCGGCAGTCAATATCAGTTCTTTCAAAGTTCTTTTATTTCGATACAGCATGCGCAGTTTGTCATCTGATAGTGTTCTCAACGTGCACGCTAAGCGAATGCGTTCTTCAAGATAATTTTGCTTTGCTATTTTCTAGAAAAAACCTCGATAGAGAGTAATTCAAAGGGAAAAATAAAATTTATACCAGGTTTTCTTCTAAGAACTCTTCAAACACTTTTTTTGTCGCGTTACAATAGGCGCGGAGCGCCCCTTTCCATAGGCCAACTAAACAATTTGTTGCCAGAAAGTTTTTTGGCACATGTTTTTTGGGTGTACAATGAAATTTAACATTTCTTGCTTCTTAATCTAATATAGATTCCTCGCTATATATAACAAACATTTTTGTCGTTTAAAAAGAAATAATCATCTTGCTGAACATTTGTGGAACTTACCCCTGTGTTTCAATATTACAATAGCTATCAAGTCGTCTTTCGTACTGAAAAAAATGTGGTAAAAATCTTTCAATTGATAACCACTAAATTATACCCCGTAGTGTGATACACATTTTGTATCATTTATTCGTTCTTTCATTTCAATCGAAAGAGGCGTGTAAGCTATATTGAGCCTTAGCTTTGTGAAAGTG